TTTATTTGTTGTTTACTGCTCCCTCCGTTTCAATTTATGTGAACCTATTTCTTTTCTAGTTCGTGCCAAAAAGAATGACCACTTTCCTTATTTGGAAACAATTTACCTTTATGCAATGATTTATAGCCACACAAAATATATGTGTCTCATTTTAGACCACAAGTTCAAAAGTCTTCTCTCTTTTTTAAACTCCGTGCCCAGTCAAATGAGTTCACATAAATTAAAATGGAGGGAGTATATCATACTATTAGGGGTGTTCATAAAAACTCGAAAAACCGAATCAAACCGAAAACCGAACCAAACCGACTAAAAAAAACCGATACTTTTTGGTTTTGGATTTAAATTTTAAAATCTAATTAAATTTGGTTTGGCTTTGGTTTTAATAAAAAAATAACCAAAAAAACCGAATCAGACCGACTATAAAAGTAGTTATATAAATTTATTATTACACTATATATATGTATATTTTTATATAAAGTTTCTGAAATTTTATGGTACATATTAGTCATTTGTATTTTTAGTCTAGTTCTTTGCTATTATAATAATCTAATTCTTTGCATTCTAGTTTGATTGGTAGTTTTATTTTGCTAAGTACAAGAATTTATTTCATGTTAAAAATAATCGATTTTTAATTGAGTACTTAAATTATTTATCACTATTTGAGTCAATTATCATCAATATATCTTGGTAAATAATAGATTTCTCAAAGAACAATTAGTTTGATAGTGTTACTTTGAAAATGTAGCAGCCGGAATATGCGTTTGGTAGTGTATGTCTCATATTTAAGAAAAAATTGATAAATAATCGAAAAAACTGAAAAACCAACAAAAACCGAATCGATAAAAAACTGACTTAATTGATTTGATTTGGTTCTATTATTTGAAAAACCGACTTACTTGACGCATGTGCTGCTATTGGTGGTGCTTCTTTTGCTTTAGTTAATAAGGCTTCACTAATCTCAGCCTCTACCTCAAGTTTTTTATCCTTGTATTCATTTTAATTGTCGCAAAAGTAAAGTCACGTAAAGCATTGTGGCCCCCAATAAATGTTATTACAGGTTAAAGATTTAGCTTTCAAATTAGATTCAGCCGCAATACAGTTTTTCTTTTTTATTTTTTTTTAAACTGAAAATGGGTTATATTAGTACTATATGGAATAACCACTTTCATGTTGAGCATAATATCAACGCTTTGGTTATCATACCATGCAGCAAATGCAATTTTTTAATGAATTTGACTTTGGATAATTTCAACGACTGTCAGACCATATTAAGCAAGAACCATAAACAGAAATGACCATTTGTCTCAGAATTTTATTAATAATAAAAGCTATAGCTATAACATTTATAGCAGCAAAAATTTACACAGCAGAAATTAAGTATATGACACAAACAACTTTATTTTAAGGCATCTCATATGTATAAAAGCTGACTTATAACTATATTACATTTGAAACTCTTATTAAGCTAGTCATGAATCATTCAAATTCTCTTTCTAATATAAGTACAAAGGAAACAAAAGATCTTCTTTACAGCCCAAAAAGGTTTCAGGGCTCCCCATAATCCGAGCAGAGGTGGCTACCATAATAAAACCCATTGAACTCACAATAATAATTGGTTCATGAGTTTTTTGTTGACCTTACTTCATAAATATCGACCAAATGGAGCAACAGTCATACTCTTAGCCTCTCCGTCAAAAGATAAGTCGCATTTGATATTTCTATAAACCCTCCGATCACAAACAGATTTGAGTGCGAAATTCCAATAGCACCTAAATTCAAATTGCCAAAATGACATGGTTGATAGTAGTATATTAAGCAACACAATATGACATGACAATTTACTGGAATTCACACAAGCAATAGATTAAATATGGGAGAAATGGTTTGAAAAAAAAAAAAAAAAATATATATATATATATATATATACACACACACACATACTGCAAAAAAATCTTATGGTAAGATAAAATTTAATATCATGTACACATCTAAAGTAAAAATTGGTGAGGAAGAACTTTGACATCTTAGTCTTAACATAATAGTAGTAATATACCGAGCAGAGCTAGAGAGAAAATTGTAGAGACCAGGAGAAAATGAAGTCTACTACCACCAATAATTCTCAGCCGTTAGTAAGAAAATATGTTCCCATGATGGCAATAAAGATAGTGNCACAGCTAGAGAAAAAATTGTAGAGACCAGGAGAAAACGAAGTCTACTACCACCAATAATTCTCAGTCTTTAGTAAGAAAATATGTTCCCATGATGGAAATAAAGATAGTAATAACAATATAATGAAAATTAGGAAGAGCAAAGGCATAAAACCATAAGCATAATACATATGCAGAAATTAAAATCAACATGAAAATAGTGGAAGAACCGAAATTCTAAAACAGATCCATGATGATGCATGAATCTTTCCTTATTATTGATGTGTTCAAATATTTTAGGGAACTTATGTCAGATAAGAACAAATAAAAAGATTTAAGTACATAACTACTTAGAACTTGATTCTTTAGTATTCCTATAAAATAAGCACTGCAGAGTTTCTCCAATGAATCTGAAGAACCAATGGGAAATAGTCTNAAAAAAAAAAAAAAAAAAATCGATAGACAATTTTAATGCTCATGAAACAGCTAAAATAACAATCAAAATTAATTGAACAAAAAAAACTAAAAGGTCAACACCATAGTTACACTAATTCCATCTGAAGCGGAGCACTCACCGATACCAAAATGAATATTCAAGAACATATAAGAAAATTTCATTCACATAGATAAATAATATGCTTCCAATGTGTATACAACTCAGAGTTTATCCCATGAAATTCAATACCTTCTGATTCCATCAAAATGCACACTGAAAATAAAACATAGAAGAAAGCAAAAGGATGTAGGATGGACGAAAACACACTAATATAAATGAAGAGGCATAGAATTCACAATAAAAACTGAAAAGACAACACATTAATAATAAAGTATAGCTGAGAGAAAGATCAAAATACTTAATTGCCTCTTTCAATTTAATGTTTTGGCAATTCCTTTGTGAAAGACTTTAAGAAGGTTAAAGGGAAAACAAAAGAACCAAAAATATTTAGAGGGGCAAAACATGGAGAGAAAAGGCAAAAAAAAAAGGACGAAAAATATAATAAATAACATTCGTAGAAACGTTTGTGATGCCACTCTGGTAAAAACTCATGATGATCTAAGTTGTAAGCGAAGGATGAAGAAATGAAGAGATGATTAATTAAGTTTATTTTGTCATAATGTATAATTACGACATTGTCCAGGACCATCTCTTGTATAAATAACTGGAATACTTGCGGTTAGCAGCACCACCCAACGTGTATTAAAACAATGATATCAGAATAGCCTACTGTCCTCATGGTACAAAACAAAATCTATTATCATAATCCAAAATCCAACCTAAACAAATTCCAACAAAAAAAAAATCTAACAAAGAGAAGCGTCCAAGTGTTCGCTCTTTTACTGAAAAGGAATATTCAAAATATTCAAATATTGCTCCAACCAATTTCAAGAGTTCTCATCTCAATCTGATATGAGAAAGGTAACATCTTTACCTCATTACGTATCTGGATGAGAAAAGTAACATCTTTATCTCATTACATGTCCAGATAAAATTGACTGGGCCACTAACTTAAGAAATTTCACAGTAAATGAGAAAGTCTCATCATTTGTGCATATAGAAAACCCAAAATGCTTATAGTTCAAAATGAACCTGAAATCAAGATGCTGATTGAGAAAACAGATACAACAAATGGAAAACAAACATCCTAACATTATTATTTCTGCATAAAATGTTAGATGAAAATTTTATTAAGAGCACATTCAAGATTAAGTAAACGTTACAAAATGGACGATAAAATAACCAAAAGATACAAACTTTATTACTAAAACCAACATAAAAATCAAGAAAAATCAAGAACATAAGACATAGAAATATATCTCTTAAATTAAAATAATTAGATAAGTTTCACGAATATTAAACAATATCATTTAGAGTTGGACACAATATTATTATTTTTTTGCCTCGGAGAAGGAAAGCAGGAAGAGTGAGATAATTCTTGACTTGTGGTTCATTCTCTCTTTTTTATTACTTTGCTTGTTCCTTTGTGCAACAATCATATAAGTACAATTTGAACATGGAGTTTGACCTAGAATCTCCAGATACCTCAAGTTATTGGTCAGTATAAACACAATGGAAACTAAAACATTATGTCACTTTTAACATTACTAATCATACTTTAATATAATTATAAAACCTATATATGCTGCAAATACCAATTGGAGATGCTATTCTCATTTTTTTCCCTACTTTTTCCCTCTTTTTTCTTAACATAAATCTTAATCTCAGGATAAACAGTGTAAAAGCCAAATAAAAAAAGAAGAAGAAAAACAGCAAGGAAATATTTCACCGTAATCCACATGCTTGGACAAATTGGCTCCGCCGACTGTAGTGCAAGGACGGGGAAAATCAATATAAAGGCCTGCAATAGAAAATGATAAAAACGGAATTTAACACATAAATACATGAAGTCGACCAACCAAATATGAAGCTTTGTAACTTAGATCTTTTCTCACAGACCGTAAAAGTCTTCTGCCATGTTCACTTGTTCTCTGGCTTGATATGGGTATTGGTTGAATTTTTCTCCATTGTTGATCGTCGATTTTATAATACATATTTGGGAGCAATAAAATTGAAGTAGATTCTTGATTTACTCTCTGTTTTTGGTGTCGTGGGAATTGAAGGTATGATTTTGGTTTGGAACGGATTCCAAAGAATTTTGAAAGACGTACCTTTACTGATTGGTTGTTATTTTTTTTAATTTAATAATTGAATTTATTTTGTGAAAATTAGAGAGAAAAGCCTGAAAAATTAGAAAAGTAGATAAATATATTTAGAGATCAATAGGACATGCCACCTCACTCCTCTAGGGCCTGCTTTATATTAATATATAGATTTCTGAGGGGCAACAACGATAGGAAATAAACATTCAATTCAGTGATTTAATAAATTTGTAACATGTGAAGGAAGCAGGTCTACATACTTGGACCATTGACCACATAACAGGACAGAACTACTACTATGTAATAACTCATGAAGTGATGAACCAGCATATGCAAAGCTCACTTATTCTAACATTTTTTCGTGAACAATATCAAAAATATAAAAAGAAATTAATTGATGCCTGAGCTAGCCATTGGCAAGCATGTTCGACAGCAAAGTACTTGAGGGCATTAATTTGATAAAAGTAGATATACCCTGCACTTAATTAGCAGGAAGAAGAAGTAGATATTAACAAGTGAAGCCAGTAGGAGGATTCCTTCCGCAGTTGTTGAGAACGAGGCTAAGGGAGAGTGGCACGTTCAGATTTATTCCCAGCACATTTGCCCTTATGGCTGTGCACAAGCAAACTGCCGCCTCTAAATCCGCCAGCCCCGCGATCAAGCTGCAGCACGGCAAAGTTGGAGGACTCCCAATTACCGCGCCCACTAATCCACCGACTAAATTAGCACATACGCCCAACTTCAGAGCATCTCTCGGCCACCTGCCTTGCCCATTGCCACTTCCCCCTCCATTTCCAGCTCCACCGCCATTGCCAGCACCACTGCCGTTTCTAGAACCTCCACCACCAGTGTTATGGCAAGTGTCACAATGGTTTCCAGAAACAAAAGCAAAGAAGAGGAGATTCAGTGACAGGAAAAGGGTAACTGATGCCTGAGTTTTGAAAGCCATGTCAACAAGGTTAAAGTTGAAATATTTATTGCCTACTAATGAGAAAAGGATTTTAATTCTGAAAAGGATGTTGAATTGTAGTAGTAAGGGTGTCTATTTATATTTGTAACAAGGCTGACTGCTGCACATAAACAATTATAAACGTACCAACTAATTGAAGCTACTATTAGCATGTATATGTTGGACTGCAAAGATAGTCTTAATCAACATGTGTGAAAATTGTCAGATTTAATTCAAGTGTACATGATTTTTCCCAAAATGTCTCGCAACATAAGAATATTTCTAATGTAATTTTTTTTTCCAGTTATCAATGTGAAATTTTGTACGCAAATCTAATAGTCATCCCTCGAATAAGTTCCACATGACTCTTACTAAGCCTCTCATATTAAGTTCAACATTGTGTGCCACCCACGTCATCCGACTATTCATGGCCTCCGAAAGCAGTAAACTGAGCCCCACCATCTCTGCTATAGACTCTAATACCAGATACTTTTAACAAAATGTGATATATATTGCTCCTTTTGGCCCAACCTTGTACGGTTTTTTATCAATACGGCTCACACAATTTAGAGTATTTCGACACTACAACAACAACAATAACCCAGTATAATTTCACTAGTGGGGTCTGTGGAGGGTAGTGTGTACGCAGACCTTACCCCTACCCTGGGGTAGAGAGGCTGTTTCCGATAGACCCTTGGCTCCCTCCCTCCAAGAACTCCCCACGTTGCCCTTTGGGTGACTCGAACTCACAACCTGTTGGTTGAAAGTGGAGGGTGCTCACCACTAGAGCAACTCACTCTTGTCAGTATTTCGACACTACTTTATGTAATTTTCTTTTCATTTAACTATCAATTTGGGACTTTGTTCGCACACTCAACCACAATAACTTTAATTATTGAAAAAGAAGTGTCTCCTTGAATGGTAATGCATGTGTGAAAAATGTTTACAGCTTAATTAATTGCTTACAGTTGTGCTTTTAGCCTCTACTACTATTAGAAATTGCCGTGATCCAAGGCCGTGTCTCTATAGAAAAATATTTTCTATAGAAACTTCCCACGCCTTGAGCAATTATCGTACATAATTCTCAATTCTCATAACTTGGTTGTTAATATATTTCCCCTTATACGTGTTAATCTGAGCACTCCAAATTTGAACTCTTTGATGAACATAACTCCATTTCAAGACAAACTTAATCGAATTATTGGAACAATGACTGCTTGATCTTGCTTTATTATCATCAAGTCGTGCATCTTTTTCATTTGAATGAAATGGAAAGACATGCAAAATGGAAAAAACAAGCTCATATTGTTTGTCACACTTTTTCAATGGATACTTGTTTCGTGACGATTTTAATCAATAGTTGTTGAGCATGAAAAATTGGTGAAACAAAATTAGGTTCCCCATTTGAATTATAGTCTCTACCAATTATGCACTAGGAAGTAAGAATCACTTTTTATAAAGGATTAAGTAAATTTTTTTGTCCAGATAAGGGTAATCTACAGATACAGGACAAGATAGAAGCAAAGAAATAATGAAGTTTAGAGCCTCCGAATAACAGGATAGGATTTTTGCGTGAATCTAATTGAGGTAATTAAGTATTCCTGCAGGTTCATGTGAAGTATTAGTTTAGTAGTCATATCCAAATGAAAGATATCGACACCATTATTGTCTAACCTAATTTTTCTCTCGCTTGAGTCTAGAAGTTTGATGATTATATATATATAAAGTCAGAAGATGTGCAAGTGGTTCATATTATGTTTAGTGAACGCCGTGATGTAGTAGTATATATTAAGCGGCTAAGACTAATCAGATAATATTAGATAAATGTTCCAACTAAATAATTATTACGAATTCTATGGATATGAAATTCTCTGGAAGACTATATGCTAGACATATATTTTACATTAATTGATTTAGTGTTTAGCGTAAACACTAAATAACTTACGAATAGTGGATCTCAAACGTCTTTTACCAATTAATCTTTGTTTACCCTTAAAATGAGTAACAATTGAATTTATACGCGATTAAATGACATGTCATTTAACTTAACTCAATGAACTATGAATAATAAATAACCGCATTAAAAGAGATCATAGCGATCAACCCAAATGTAATGGATAAGCAAGTCTAGCTTTGCAATGGACGTTTGGGAATTGGTTCTGATTTAGCCCTCGAAACGAGCTCGGTTACAACTTAATAAACAAGCAGTTGAAGAACACTTTGAACAATAGCTAAAGGACAAAATTTAACTTTATTGTTTTGATATGCATGCCAACAATGATTTTAAAATAAAAAAGTTCTCCCCTTTATATAGTACGAGAGTTTCAATCCTAGTACAAGTCTAAATAAGGTAAAAATTCTTCTCCTTCAAGTAAACATTGATATGCAATTGATGTTGGGCGAGATTTGTGTCGTAACATCCGGCTGATGGCAATTATTATGGCATGCCTAATTGTCTTTTCTCCTAGTCTCGGCCCTTCACTCTTCTCACACTCGATGCTTGGCCGTGTTCGGTCTCGGGTGCACCATTTGTCCTTCCCGGACTCTGAGACGTGGAACCACACGGCTTTACTTGAGGTCATGTCAGATAGTGCTTCCCTCTCGTTTCTTTTTTGGGAAATCGGGGTAACTCAAGAACAATGAGTCCATTCCTTGAATTTGTGTAAGGTCACTTGCAACTTATCCAAGTATCTCTTCATCCGGTCGTCCTCTTTTACTTCAAATGTCTCGTTGACTTGGTTAATAACGAGGAGGGAGTCACACTTGGCCTCGATCACCTCAACCCCCAGACTCTTAGCCAGTTATAGACCAGCATTCATAGCCTCATATTCAGCTTCATTGTTAGTCAATTATACAGCTCTAAAAGACTGCCTCAATATCTCGTGCTAGGTGGTCACGTCGATCATTCAGTCAATTTTAGGTAAAGGAAATGAATCCTTTGGACATGCCTTATTTAGGTCCTTATAATCTACAAACATTCCAAGTTTGTTTCCTTTTTTAGGCCAACCACTATGTTAGCTAGCCAATCCAGATATTTAACTTCCCGAATAGAACCTATTTTCAGAAGTTTAGATACCTTGTCTTTGATGAATGCGTGTTTGATCTTGGACTGCGGCCTCCTCTTCTGTTTGATCGGGTGGAATTTTAGATCCAAGCTCAATTTGTGAGTTGTCACCTCCGGTGGGATCCATGTCATATCTAAGTGGGACTAGGCAAAACAATCGGTATTAGCTTTAAGTAAATCAATAAGTTTTTTCTTGAGCTAGGAGTTAACCTGTGCCTAGATATACCTTTCTATATGGTAGGTACTTGATCGGTATGACCTGCTCCAATTCCTCGATTGTCTATTTGGTGGCATCTGTATCATTGGGTGCTATCAATAATCTCAGGACACCGTATTCATCCTCCTCGTTTATTGTGTGCTCCTCCTGTTTCTCCCGCCCGGTCAAGGTCGTTACCGCCGATTTCTATTTGATTTCTTTCTCCTCGACCAGTCCCCTACTTTTTGATTTTGTGACCACGGGCACCGGGGTCACTTCCTCGACGGCAAATATCTCCTTTACGGCCGGCTGTTCCTCGTAGACCATTTTGATTCCACACGGAGTGGGGAACTTCAATGAGTCGAGGGCACCGCTCTCATGCTGTGAACCCATGGCCTCACATACAAGGCGTTGTATCTCATATCACCCTCGATCATGTAGAATTTCGTTTCCTGGTGGTCCCAACAGTTCTTAATGTTAGGGTTATTTCACCCTTCATCGTTTCGCATGCCATGTTAAACCTGTTCAATACCCGTACTGCCGGTATGATTTGGTCCAATAATCCCAATTGCTCTACGAACCTCCAACAGATGATGTTGGCTGAGCTACCTGCATCAATTAATACATGTTTAACTCGAGATTTATTGATAAGTACGGATATTACCAGTTCATCGTTGTGATGCTGGATGATGCCCTATGCATCCTCGTCTTTGAACGAGATGGACCCCTTCGGGATATAATCCCCGATGCGTTTTTCCCTTGTGGTAGAAACTTTGGTGCATTTTATCATTGACCCTTGTGGGACATCCACTCCGCCAATGATCATGTTGATCACGTGTTGAGGCTCTTCATGCTCAATTTGTTTGTTCATGTCCCTGTTTGTGAAATGATTTTTGGCCCGCTCACTTAAAAATTCCCGAAGATGCCCGTTGTTGAATAGTCGAGCCACTTCCTCCCTTAGCTGTCGACAATCTTCGGTCGTGTGACCATGAGTACCATGGTATTTACACACCAAGATGTGATCCCTTTGTGTGGGATAGAATTGAAGTGGCTTAGGCTATTTTGTCTCCTTGATGCGACCAATGGCCGACACTATACCTGCATCATCCACGTTGAAGTTATATTCTAATAGTCTTGGGGCTTCCCAGCCCCCAAGTGATCTGTCGAAACTGTTTTTATTCATCAGACCCATGTTGTTACGTCTTTGATCGCCTCCCCTGTCGTTCCTGGTTGAGTGGCGACTAGGTCCATTTCCCCTTCTGTCCGAGTTGTATGGTGATACCGATCTCAGACCAGGCCTTGGCTCCTGGTCCATAATTCTTTTAGATCTGTCGTTCGCTCTGTTGGGGTAAAATTACCCTAAGGGCCCCCTAGTTGGTCATCCTCGACTTTGATCTTCGACTGATACATGTTATGGACATCGGCCCAAGTAACCGCTGGGTATTCCAAATATTTCTTCAATTGTTGAGAAGTAATGGAACTTCAGGGGTTGAGCCCTTGAGTGAATTCCTGAACGGCGTAATCATCTGCGGTCGGGGGCAGATCCATTCGCTCCATCTGGAACCTCCACACAAATTCCCTATGCATCTCTTTTTCTCTCTGTCTGACTTTGAAGAGGCCAGATTTCCTTTTCTCGACCTTGATGTCTTCATCATGGGATTTAACAAAGGCATCTGCAAGCATAGCAAATAAATCAATAGACTTTGGAGGTAAATTATGGTACCGTATCATAGCTCCTTTGGACAAGATTTCCCCAAATTTCTTCAATAACACCAACTCGATCTCATCGTCTTCTAAGTCA